AGATTGAAGAACAAAAGGACAGCAACTTGTCTGTTCCCCTTCCCCCAATTCCCCAGCACTGTTCCCATCCCCCCAATTCCCCAATTAAAAAAAAAACCTTAAAAAAAAAAGTAAATTGTGACATTTGATAACTTGGGATAGACCCAGAATTACTACTATATTATCACAAGACTCATTTTCCATGTCTTACTGGCACAAAAGTTGATCCTCGTCTATCTTTAAATCTTGTAAGTCCAGTTTAGGCCCTTAGGGAAGGAGATTTCTAGATCCATTTTTTAATGTACCCAGCTCAAGGGATATATAATATATATATATAATATATATATATATTATATATATATATTATATATATATATGATATTCTAATCAGCCACAACTTCTTAGTGTCATTGCACAGTAAGTCCTCACTTAACACTGTCCATAGATTCTATAACAAAATCAATTTCACCACAGGCTATTTGATATAAATAAGGGTTAAGTTCCTATGGCATACTTCTGGTCACAAAATCATCAGCAAACCTCTAAAGACCCAAAACACCTCTAATACTAAACACTGAAATAAATGTGAGCTACACATACATTTAAGAAAGATTAATAAAAACAAGTAAGACAATGGTTTTCCAGTTCTGGGTGGCCAGAGCCTCTCCGGACTGCTCAGAGTGCAAGCGGGCACCCACCCTGGACAAGACACCCACCCAGGGCGCACTCACACCCACACGCACTCACTCAGACTGGGGTAACTGGGACACTCCAGTTCACCTCGGGAACACACCTTTGGAGCGTGGGGGAAACCCGGGAAGACATAGGGAGAATGTGCAAATTCCACACAGACAGTAGCCCTGGCTGGGAATTGGGTTTTGTTTATCCTTATCAATGTTACAATGAAGCAACACTGAACAAAACACTACCCCAAGACCTGCTATATATTGGGTTGTTGGAAAAGTCATGACGCATTTTTGCAATGAAAAACATAGAAAAAAATACATCATGACTTTTCTGACAACCCAATAGATAATTCAGGAACCATTTAATTTAAACATTCAGTTGAACCTAATTAGGATTTTCAGCCCAACCAAATTATAACTAGCCCTTATATTTACCTCTTTGTTTAAAGACCCAAATGAAAT